GTCCTAACGACAAATCTTCAATTTTATCTCCGACCCATCCTATCATTTTGAGGGACAATGTGGAATTAACATAATACATTAGGTGATGAAGACGGGCGTCATCATCCTTAGTCCATTTGGTCACATTTCGTGCCAATGCATTGATGGATCTTAAAAGGTCGAACCGCGCAATGCGGGCTGCATAGAGCAGCTTCATGAGCACACTAGCTGCATGCGGGGCTAGATTCCCTCGGTTCAGTGACTCACTATCTTGGCCAGGATGTGAGCTACCCGTCTCGAAGAGAGCGGGCATCTCTGGATCGAAGGAGTGCGCACACCAAGGACACTCAACTTTGCGCTTGCCATCGGAAGGAGCTCGGTATGGGCTGCTTTTCGTTTCCTCTGGAAGGCTTGGAGTTGATACCTTTTTCAATTTTGTGTCCTTACCAACAATGTCAAGATATTTTTCAACCGATAACTTCAACAATCCTTCCATGTTGTAAGTTATAGTCTTGACTTTCTTACCATTATGCAATTGGGTTTCACCTTGGGATAAGACACATCCTAAGTAAAGACCCAGATCGGTTTCGGGTTCAATACGCAAAACAGTGCGTAGCATTTCCCAACCCTTGGCCAGATTTTCGGAGGGCCCAGCAAGCTTAAGATCATCCACATAGATCACCAATAGCAATTTGAGCTCATCATGAAAATACATTGAAGGCAATTCCTCACCAATAGGCTTAAAACCAATCTCTTGAACTCTCTTATCACAATGTTGTTCCCACATCGTGCCTGAGTCAGGATGCCCGTACAATGCTTTGTCTAGCCTTACCACAGGGCGACGGAACTTCCAGTACTGAATCTCAGGAGGCCATGCATCGGTGGGTAATTCCACCCAACACAAAGGTCCCTTCAACTTGGCCTGGATGTACGCTTGAATCGCATCTGCAAGCTTGACTGCATGTCCAGGAAGACATCCATAGAAATCGGCCCATCGTGAGGCTTCGAAGGATGCAGGTGAGTTCCCTAAATCTTGAAAGAACGCTGCTTCCCAATGTTGGTTCTTCACTTGTTTGCCCAGTAGAACACCTCTACCCTTGAACTTTCGACCAGGATCGTCTGCAGAAAGTTGGTAGTTCTTCTCAATGCAAATACCGTGAACTCTAGCCATGTGAACTTCTTTCTTGTTCTTCTTGGCCTCTGCAACAACTTCATCATACTCACGAACCATTGTGAAATCAAATACTTCTTGATCTCGTAGGCCTTTCCATTCCTTTAACATGGCCTCTTTGGCTTTGGGGTTAGACTCAATTTCGGCTCTGCCTACAGGTCGAGACACCATAGCGTTGAAGAGCTTGTTCCCCAGGCCTTCCGTTGGTACTTTGATTCGATGAATGTTGCTGGATGCAGAGGTACATGGCATAGTAGGGAATGCTATGAGATCGCCATCATCTTCAGTGGGTGTGTTCTTCGTGTCTTTGACGTTGACACATTTGCCATTCTTGATCATTGTCGATTCACCCGGCGAAGCCGAGGAGGATCTCGAAATCACACCAGACAATGTGTTCCAAACTTCACCACTCCATGATGCTTTCGGACCTCGGCCCTTCTCGATCTCCGACCACTCATCCCATTCAATGAGATATTCCTCGTCGTCCGGGACGTCAGTAGAAGCATCGGAACATGGGCTAGCATCAACATTTCTGTTCACCTTCCGGCAGTCAATGAATCGTTTTCCATGAACATCATCATCATCAACGATGTTATACAGGTCAAGATATGCACTCGAACATGTAATAGGCAAAGTCACTTTGTTCTTCAACACTTCACCAACACTTGCATCGGATTTCTTCGACTTTGAGTGCGGTCATCTTTCTCGTCCTCGCCACCTTCTTCGTCACCTTTGGACTTGGGCTTGTCCTTGTCCTTCTTTGAATCTTTCTTCTCCTTCTTCAGTGCTTTCTTCTTCACTTCTTCTACCTTTCTTTTGGCTTTCTCATCAGCTTCTTTCTTTTCTAACTTCTTCTTCTCAGCCTTGAGGATGGTGGTGCGGTCAGATTGAGATAGCTTACGCCATTCTTCAGGAGAATATGTCCCTTTGGGTCGTAATGAAGTCTTGAAGAGTCTTCTGCCATCTTCTCCAATCTTGTATGGGTAGCCCTTGACATTCAATTTGACCTTCTCACCATCATCATTGAGGTATACCTTTCCATCTCCAGCTTTGCCTGACTTCCAATGTTCAGGTTGTGAGTCAAGGGGTTCTTGAAAAGTCATTTCTTCTGGATCTTTGTCATCGAAGATACCCTCAGTGGCTTCGGGAGACTTCTTTGAAGCTTTTCCTCCACTAGGACCAGGTCCACCATCGTCTCCGTCATCAAGCTCATCATCGTCCTCATCTTGTTCACGATCATCATCATCAACATGAGGTGTCCTGGAAGGATCACCATCAAGAAGTTCCTTCTCTTTCATTCCTTCCAATGTAACCCTTTCGTACTCCTTCTTGCATGGAAATGTCAATGGAGTAACCATCTCGACTTTCTCAGTCAAATGAGGTTTGAGGAGACGATGTTCTGGTTTGCTAGCATCATCACCAAGGTTTTGATGCACAAACTCACTCAATGGCCATACTTTGTATTGTCTTGACCAATGCATCACAGGACCAATGTGATATCCTGCGAAAACTCCTGGAATAGAGTCAGGTCCAAACTTGTGGAGTTGTCCCGCTTCCCTGGTCTTCGGAGGCTTGTAGTTTACGCGGGCACCATAGGGAATGAGTTTTCCAGCAAACTCAGATCCATGGAGTTTACACCAAGCACTAAGCTCATCATCATTGGGTTCTACGTTGAGTAGATGACACACGCAAAGGATAGCTGTTCTCCAGAAACAAGGTGGTAATCCGGCTTCTAACAGGCATGTGGAAGTGGCTGTCAGGATGAATTGATTCGTGCTTTCGGCAATAGAGTTGGTTTGAGGTCTTCCAGGTAATGAATGATCAATTGGGATCTTCATCTCATTCATGGCTTCAATGAATTGTGGAGCATGATCAGAGTAAGCCTGTCTGACTTTCTTGTTGCCGATGAACTGTTTCACTGCTCTGACCACATCGTCTTTGGTCATCCTGTCAGATGGATAAGCACCAATAATCCCTGTAAAACAGTCTCTGACGACCAACACCTCCTTCTGAAGTACCAACACATCATCATGGACTTTGGACGTGTCAACGGCATCAAAGGTAATGAGATCGCCAAATTTCTTGAGTTCCCTCTTGTATGCACCTCGACGAGTCTTGAAGTGTTTCATCTTTGCGCGAATGCATGAATCACAGTATGGATTCTTGTATCTGTGAGTCAACTTGTGATGTAGGCTGTTTGCTTCCCTTTTGAGTGTTCCTCTTTTAGCTACCCTGGATTCACCTTCAACAACATCGACTTCAATGTCGTCTTCATCACCTTCTGCGACTTCTTCAGGAGCTCCATGTCCTTCATCTTCGAAGTCTGTCTCGTCGCCAGGAGGACCAGCGTAGGGTGTTCCTGGTTCATAGTCTTCCTCGATAGGTGGGGCTACTTCTCCAGGTAATGTACTTCGTGGGGTCAACGCCCCGAGGCGGGCGTGGTAATTTCCACGTTTGTGCGTTTTCGCCAATATACGGGTTTAACGCTCTTGCCGACTGTAAGTGGATGCTTCCGAAGACACGTTGCTGAACGTTGTTGCTGACGTCTTGCTACCTTGACCGGGTGGGGGGGGGTGGGGGGGGATGATAACGTTCCTTTCGACTGTAAGTGGATGCTTCCGAAGACACGTTGCTGAACGTTGTTGCTGACGTCTTGCTACCTTGACCGGGTGGGGGGGGGTGGGGGGGGGGATGATAACGTTCCTTTCGACTGTACGGAAGACACGTCTGAGTTGTTTTGACGTCTCTACCTTGACCTGGTGGGGGGGGGGGGGGGGGGATGATAACGCCTTTCTGACGCGTCTGAGGTCGGTTCAAGCGCGCACCAACTCATGGTGTCGGTCAGATTTTATTGGATTTTAATTTTTGGTCATGAACTCGTGGTGTCGGTCAGATTTTATTGGATCGTATTTTTTTGTCATGATGGCCATTTTCCGCAGCTCTTTTTTGATGTCCGGTCATCCCGCTACACCTCCGCGGAGGACATTGGCAAGGTTCCAGCGACTGGGTTTCAATGCGTCTTTAACAACATTTAATTTTGTTTATCTTAATGATGTCTGGTTTTTGAACATATCATCCTCAGTAGCTTTTTTGGGGAGTTATACATGATCCAAGATGATAAAAGTACATTCTATGATTGTATGATTGTAGAATCTCATTAAAAGGACTTTTAAAATGTTTTTGATGATTCCGAACAGGTCTCCATGGTCAGTGCACTCCAACGCGTTGTCTCTGCAGTTGCATTCACCAGTGGCTGTATCTTCTAGGTGTCTCGTTGGCACTTATGTTTGACTTATATATATATATGGCTGGTAAATAAATAAATAAATATATATATATTACACATATTTCAATATATATGTGTAAAAGGTATTTTTAACTATGTATTCATGTTCAAATGTATATTTATATACATATATATGTAAATAAATAAATAAATAAATATATATGTATATTTATTTACCAAAGACATCAAGCAGCTACATGACTACAACAAAAGTTTTACATGAATAGAGCAAGTTGACAAAAGATTCAGGACCTCTTCTCCTGAAGCTGGTGCAACCTTGGCTACCGTTGCACCTGCTCATGAGACTGCAGAGGAGGCCACGGTCACAGTTGCACTTGCAGTGCCCACGGATCATGTGCCAGCTGCTGCGGAAAGCGAGTTAGACGACATGGATCGTGGTTCTCCTGCTGCTACGTTGGCACGAGATTTTGGAGCCATTGCATCTTGAACGCATTGAGAACATTGAATGCTTTCGTAGACCTCTCGTTCAATTTTGCTTGAATTGCCCTGAAGGATATTCCAGTTATCTGGTGCTGCAAACCTTTGAAAGAACGCTTGCTGCTGATGTTGCACGTGCCTGTCTTTGCCACGAATGATGCTCATGAGAGATCTTGCCGCGCTGTCATTGAACGTGCAGGAATGGTGACTCACGCACAAACCAAGGCAGGCTTGGAACGCAGAGCCTTGGAAGCCATTCAGCGACTTGGATTTCGTGAAGCAGAAACTTTGACACTGAATGGTGACTTCCAAAGAGCAGATTCGTTTCGGAAAAGCATTCGGGCCAACATGTTGCATCGCGAGAAGATTCGTTTGTGGGGCCCAGTTCGTGCTCGTGAACCTTCGGTGGTGCACACTGTTTCTGTAGACTTGAGCCGCTTTCAACAGATGACTTTGCCGTCCACTTTGTCTTCAGGCCCTTACGAAACTGCTGCGTCCGTCCGAGCACGTGGAGCTTGGCAACCTCCTCCTGAAGTTGCTACAACTGTTCAAGTGCCTGAAAATTATGGGGCTGCAATGGATCACACGGGAGCTCACTATGACAGGTGTCTTCGTGAGATTTTTTCTATTATGTCCCTTTTTTCCACCCAAAAAAAACGGAGGAAGTTTGAAGGCCGCTATCGTTTGTATGGCTTGTTCTCTGAAGTCAATCCTAGGTTTATGGACACGTTGCTGGAGCTATCATTACGTGGCTTTCTTCCTCACCCTTGGATCACGCTTGAGCCGATGCAGGATTCGGCTGGCATGACTTGGGAAGATGTCGATGAAGCTGCTGGCGTGTGGGCTTCTTTCAATTGTGTTGAGATTGCCAATGGTAGCGTTCGATTGCTCAAAAATGAGAAAGACTTTTGAACTGAACACAAATGGAGCTTGACGGCTGGTCTAAAAGGACGCTGCGATTGTATAGTTGAACTTGTGGTGTCATAGTTTTAAGTTACTTGTCTTGCCATCGTGCTAATTTGCCATTTTGCATCATGCCATGTTGCTTCTAAACATGTATCCATCATCGAAGCTGCTTCGGCGCAATGCCCGCTCGTCCGACCAAGCAGCTACATCAATGTAGCCTTTGTGGCCGCAAAGGTCACAATGTTCTTCGGTGCGAAGCTCCCGGTGCTGCTCGCTATAGAAAGCTGTTGGCCATTTACAAAGATGACCAGAGATTGAATTCCAAGCAAACTGGTCGCAAAGGAAAGACTAGACCCAGAAGACAAAAATTTGGTGACAGGAAAAACAAGGCAAAGGACACATACTCAGGTAAAAGGAAACGCTTGCAAGACGACAAGGTTAGACGTGAGAAGAGAAGAAAGCAGGAGCATCTCAAGGGAGATGAACAGAATGCAGTCAAGGAGCTTCAAAAAATAGGCTTTTTGAAAGCCCCGCAAAGATGTCCTTTTTGCAAGAGATACAATCTGAATGAAGCTGACAACAAAGGGAAGACTGTGGAGTATCGTTGCAAATGGGCGTATTGTAGAAAAAGGATCACTGCTTTGAACCATAGCTATGGACTACCTCAAAGTCTTGGACGGGGTCTTTCCGCCACGGGCTTGTTGGTTGCCATTCGTTCCTACTGTGCTGCTACCAAGTGTGTGAGTCCATTGGCCGTTGCTCAGACGATTGGATGCAGTGAGAAACCCATTGCGCGTTTGTACACGTGCCTTCGAGAGATGGAAGCGAAAGCTGGTGCTGAACTCAACTACAGCATGCGGCTTCGGAAGGAGGTCGAGTTGGATGGACACAAAGTCCGCACAGCATGGGTTTCGAAAAAGACTACCAAGTTTCTGCCACAGGTTCGTGCTTTGACTGCAAAGCATCCAGCACTTTGCACGCAATGGTATTTTTTTCTTCATCTTTGCTTTTATCTTTACAGTTTGAACTCCTCCTTTTCTCTCAAACAGTCCGAATGGTAACTTTTCCAACCAGGCAAAATGCCAGAAGGCCAAGAATTTCATTCTTCACTATGGTTTAGAACCGTGTTTGGTCTATTTACCTGTGGGCATTTTGACCACACAGGGCATGTTTAGAACCTGATCATAATTTCTTGGAACCTATTATAATTATAGCCCATATTAGCCAAAATCTGCCAAAATCCAGCTGGACACTGCAGATTTGCCCACACAGCAATCTATCAACTGTACTGCTGGGTGTGAGTTGGTTTTTCAAAAGGCAAACCAAACTTCGTGGCCTTGATGTTGGACCCGGTGGTACATGTATTTCTTCTTTCCAAGCGCATTGTATGATTGAAACTGGGATTTGGTGGAACACTGTGTGTTTGCTTCAGCTATCCCAGTAGGATACCTTGCATGGGTTCATAAGTGGGAATGCGAATCAAGTTGAATTAAATGCTAAATTCAGGGCAGTAAACAATAACATCGTGAATCTGAAAGAAGCTGAAGGTACATTTTTTCATATGTTTCCTATGTGCCACCAAACATCGGCCACATACTGAATATCATCATTTACGGCATACCGTCATATATGCACTTATGCCGTGAACTGTTTGCCATAAAACTATGTGGATAGAGTGGTGTTGCGAATTGCAGAATTACTATTCTTACATGAAATGGTGTGAACCAGCATACTGCATACCGTCAAAACAGTATGATGGGAGGCTGTGCTGCATGAATATGTATAATCATGCTTTTTAGTGAAGCAGATTCAGATAGGCAGCAAATAGGCGCTGAAAACTAGTGATAGGTTTGTTTTGATAACAATTTGTTATGTTCTTTATTGCAAGAGGAGCCATGAGAACTTGACTGTCGAATATTCCGTGATATGCGATGATAAAACTTGTCGATTAATGAACGTGTTAAGTGCATAACCTACTAGTACAAGCAGCTTCACACGTTAAACCCCCAAAGAAAAAATAGTGGCATCTCCATCACTCATTTCAATATACTTAAAGACAAGCCACAACTAAGTTTCAAGTTCACTGTTTCATTTAAACACTTCCAGCCTTTGACTTACACTTGCACCGTATTCAACAGTTGATATCATATATATATATACTTTCAGATGTTTGACCATGAATTTGTATTGCAGTTTGTACCTAAACTGGTGAGTTTTAACCTGCAAATACTTACAGTTTACGACTTAGAACCTTGGTATTTTAAGCAACCTCGAAGCCTTTGCCATCTTACCATAATGTTAAAAATTATGCGTGTTTTCAAGACTCGTAGGGACGGTTTCGACGGTTTCTACCTGTTTCCAACAAATACAGGTGGAAACGGTTTCAACGGTCTCAACCTATTATGTTATAAACAGCGGTTTGAAACGGTTTGAAACGGTTTCTAATCTGTTTCGTTTTTGGGGCATAATAGCGCTGTGCGGAAGAAACGGTTTCCATCCGTTTTGGGCCCAAATAGGTGGAAACGGTTTCAACGGTTCCTACCTGTTTGGCTTTCAACCTCATGAAATGATTGCCTGTTTTAACATGAACGAGAAAATCAAACATAGACAACATAGGGTCCCATAGAAATCATAAAAGTCTAGACATGTTGGCATAATCCGGAGGTCAATACTTGAAGTACCAAAGTTTGAAGTGTCAACACGGTTCAAAATAATTTCCGGCCTTACTTAAACTTCTGGGGGAAATTAAGGGGGTTTGAAGAGACATCTTGGGATGTCCTGGCAGTTGCGTATTGCTCGGCCCGGCTTGCGTGTTCAAATGGATTTGACTAGAACACTGTTGATTTGCTATTGGGACATTGCACTCAGCCCTGACTGTCCTGTGGGAAAAAAACGTAAACAATGGAAGAAAGTTGAGCCCTGAAATGGCCTACGGATGGTGCCAGAAACCGTTTCTACCGTTTCTACCTGCCAGAAATTGTTTCTACCTGTAATTTCACCAAAAAAAAAGTTTAGAAACTATTTCTCAAATCTTAGAACCTGAATTCAAAAAACGACTTCGGCTACGGGGCATGGGGGTGGAGTCCAGGGCCAGCAGGGAAACATCCAACGTAGAAGGCCATTCTACCACATTGTCTATTCCGGTGAAACGGTGAAGACTTGCCAGAAGCAGTGGAAGTATTGCATCATGCAAGGAAAATCTGCAGGATTCATCAAACCAGCCCATGTCCGCAAGATGTACAGTCGAAGTCATGTATCATGAACCATGCAGCATTTAAGTAAAGGTATTACACCGCTACGTGCTTTTGCTTTGACATCATGATACAAGGCACATACCTGACTACTTGTGACATGTTAAAGCGTAGACGTTGGAACGGTCTTAAGCCATGAATCATTAATCAAAATCCACAAATAGTATAGTATAGTTAATACTTGTTAATACATGATAGTGACAATTATGATACAATGATACAATGGTAACTGCTGGCTAACTTGCTAGTAGCTGCTAGGTAACAACTGATCTACGACTCTCTACTGTACTGCCCCACCTGCTGAAGCAATGCAGCGTGCTTCTTCAATCCACCTACGGAACCCTCTTGTCCTTTGCAAAAATGTTTCAAGGAAAAAAATCTGAACCTTCGGTTTCATGAATTGAGCCCTTCATTTGCAGATACAGTGACAGTGATATGATCATCGAATCATACGTTGTAACAAAAGCACACGACAAAGCATGCGTAGCTACAACGCACTAAGCGCACTAACAGTCATCAGCGCGCAGTCGTGCATTGTAACTGCGGCCCAGTGAAATTTGGAAAAGATGGTAGCATGACAAGGGACTGCACCAATCATGTTCTCTGCTATCGTATGCTACAGCCGTGTTTTTTTCACAACCAAACATCAAATATGTCATATGTTGTTTAAATGATCAATAGGACCATGTGATAGCAAGAGCAAGAAAAGACATTCTTGACTTATACACTCACTCATGGATTGCCTGGATGGTAGCCCATACCTGACATGGAGCATGCATAAAATTTGAGAGCACAAAGCATACTTCTGCATACTTTCATCATGAACATCATTTATCTACCCCCACCCCCAAAAAAAAAAACTGATTTAAAAGTCATACATGATGTATGTGATATACAATTTTTCACACGCATATCCAATCGCGTGCGCAGATGGTGCAATTTTTGTCTCATTGTACGTATAGATCCTTGTATGCAAGAACTTATTCTGTCAGTGGGTTTCCACTGATCAAGCATATGCGTGTACGTACATATGCATGGAAGGAGGCTGTTTTCATCCAACGCTGCGGCGTGGCACATCGCTTTTGTGTAGTGTCAATGTCTTACTGGAAGGCTGCTGCAAAAACTTCATTGACTGTGGTTGTGCCAAAATACAGTGGGTACGATGCATGTCCGGACAAGGAGGGATCTTGAAGGCAAAAGGTTTGGATATTGAGCAATCATGTTTATGCTGTCGAGACGTAGTCTGAAAAACATCAAATCATGTACAACACGTGCGACAAATATGCAGCAATAAGTTGTAAGACCCAATTGTATGACACCTTGTTCAAAACAAGAACTGTTTGTGGCAGAAACAAATGATAATTTGTTTAGAAGCAAATTGAATAGATTCTAAGAACTATACGATAGAGTCTAAGAATTATATAAAAAGTTCTAAACCAGCATTTCTATACGTCGGGATCCCTGATTTAAATAGAGCAAACTTGATTCTAAACTATATGTAATAAAAAGACCCAGATTTATAGACAACAGGTTCTAAGAATTTTACAGCAGGTTCTAAGAATCCTTTAATAGGTTCTAAGACACCATTTTGATACGTCAGGATCCCTGATTTAAATAGACCAGACCCGGATCTAAACTATGGTCTACTTGGTGCATTCGAACGTTCGACTTCGAAGTGTTTGCTCGAGGCTATGGAGCCACGCCTCCAACTTCCTGCTTCTAGGCCACCAGTTGAGTCTGCAGATGATGTGAGGCAAAGCTGTTTGTTGGATAGAATACAGAAAAACACCATGTTATACTCGGATGGTGCTTTGGCATGGCCAAAGGTTTCCAAAGAGATGAGAAAAGGTTTTCGTATTAAGCAGGTGAGCCATCGTCGTCAAGAATTTCTCAGAGGTCGAAACATAGGAACTCAGATAGCTGATTCCCGTTGGAAAAGTATGCAGTCATGGATTCCAAAGACTGTGAAGACGTTGTACAGAGGACGCCTCAATAAAAAGCTGATGATCTATGTGAGATCATGGCAATTTAGATTTGCACACCAGCATCAATACATCCAGGCTTTGGGCAAGCTCTTCAAAACGAAGAATGCCGACTGAAAGAGCACAGAAAAAATGCACTTCATCCGACTTCAAGAAGATGTTGCGGAATTCCCAAAGTTTTTTTTTGACATTTTGACATTTTGCAGCAAACCTCAAAACATCATAGATCAAAAGCACAAAATACTGTAAATTGCAGTATAAAATGGTGATTTTTTATTCAATCACCAAGTGCACAATTGTAGAAAACCCACACCCGCCTCAAGGCGGTGATCCCTTCTTCGTCTGCTTCGGTTGGCTGCTCTCACTTTCTTCTTATTCTTGAGCTTCTTGACATATCGGGAATTCTTTTGATCTTCATTCAACATCTCTAGACCACTTTCTCCGTCAAGATGGACTCTTCGGGATGGTCGGCCTACTTCATCCAGATCATCAAAGTCATTGAAACCATCTTGAAAATGTTCAAGTAGATCGTGGATCTTGGATGTCTTGCAGCATTCATACGGAGTGCATTCATATGTTCCAAGATCAATGTAGGTGATGTTGTCGTGAATTGTCAAGTCAATACGTTCCCCGTTCTTTGTGATCATGAACGGCATCTTGCCACAAGGCCATACGAAGGAGTATCCTTCTTCCATGCATCGTTTCCCAAGAGACATCACAGAAGGAGTGTCGTCTAATACATAGGCATGAGACGTCATGTCAAAGGTTCCCAAGTCAATTTCAGCTTCTGTTTGGGTAGCAGTCGAACCGTTTGCAGTGTGGAACATGATGGGATCACAAGTTCGTTTCTTCAAGTTCATCCTCTCAGATTTTCGTGCGGAGATCAAATCATGTCCGCTTCCAGAATCAAGGATGAATCTGCGATCTTTGGCTTGGACTGGAAGTGAAA